ATAAGTGATATGTTTTTTAACAATGAAAAAACGTTTAGATTTTTTTCATCAAAAAACTCGAAAAATGAAAAAAAAAAGCAGATAAAATAAACTTAGTTAAAAAAAGGCTAACATATTGCTAATCCAATTCAGCAGTCTTTTTCTTACTATTTCAAAAAGTTACACAAAAATTTTGTTTTGATTTTGTAAAATATTTTATTAAACTAATTTATTCCTTAATAGAACAACGTTTTTCTAAAATCAGTAAAGTAACAGTTTCATACGTGTTTTTAAAACTTCAAAATAATCTGAAAAGCAAAAGTGTGAAGATTTAGAAAAAAGATAAAAGAAAAAAGAAGAGCTACCCAATTATTTTCTGTCAAAGCAATAAATAACCATCAAATTCTGCGGTACTAAATCGCTGTCTGAAAAACTTTATCGTTGCTCGAATATAGCTTAGAAAGAATTCTTATTAGGTCCAAAATTTTAAATTTTGTCAGCAAAATATTCTTCTGCAAAACTAATAATTGCGCTGTAAATTCACTTTAACAGGTTACCGATAAAGCCAATTTCCTAGTCCGTTATTCATTTTTGAACTAGTGACCTAACTGTGAACGCCAAAAACCACAAATCTACGAAAAATATCAGGTACTGTAAAGAATAGACATAATAAAGCCATTTTAAGCTACCAAATAAAACCAACCCTAAGTCTCGAAAGTAGAACAACTAAATGATTAAGTCTTAGTAGGTATCCTAGGTACGTTGTAGAAATAAAGAATAACTCAATGATATCCTCCTCAACTGCATCAATCACAAATACAAGGTTTAGAAAAGGTTTTGAACAATGGCGGAGAGTTTTATAAAGCCATTTGCCATCGAATGTGCTAAGCTTAAAAAAATAATGACTGGCAACAAGGAAGAAACAGAAGATGACTTCAAAGAAGACGCGACGAGAAAGACTAAAAGCATATGTCAAAAATAGCTCTTCTCCAATAAAGCAGTAACTATGAGGCCACCAAATAAGAAACTGACGTCATTGTAACATTCATGGATTCTGCTTTCCACTTTGAATCGGCCATTACTAAGTACAGTGCAGAGGATATTGCAATTCTTGAAGTGTAATGAAAAGTTAAAATATATTATTCAGGATTGATAAAGAAAAATGTCAAGGGAAAAAAACCATTAAACATTCATTTTGCTTCTAGTCCAATAAAGGAATTCACTAAGTAGACACTCTATCGCTACAGAAAGAAGTTCACTGAATAAATACTCCTTCAAAAACAATTTACACATACCATATTAATTAATCACGGAAATGCTTTTAAAAGCCATATTTTACGAAACTCCTTCGCTTTAGCTGCAAAAGAATGTCTTTAAAGCTCACTTTTTTGACTGAAGCAGAAATATGAAGCCGTAGTTGCAGCAGACAATTTGACCAAACTTTTTAAATCAAAATACATGGCTACTACAATTTATTACAGCACTTTTTGCAGAATTTTTCAAAAAAAATTTAGCACTTGTTAGCATTCTTCTGATCAATAAAAACAGCCTGTATGATTAGATTAGAAATTGCAAACATTTCCTGCATCTACGCCGCACATTTGGCAGCAGCGAAAAAATTGATTTTTCAATAATGACCACGCAAAAAACCAAACAAAAAAAAAGGAAGTATACCTGAAAATTTAAAAGCATGATAATGATGTTAATACTTCATAAAATTAATTCTTCTTCAAATTTATTTAGCATCGTATAAATCAGAGAAGAAGGTTTTCTCGATGACTTCTTTGCGATTTCACCGTGCCTCGTCTGATGTTTGGAATCCACTAAGTAGACACTCCATTGCTACAGAAAGAAGTTCACTAAATAGGTTACAAAACTGCCATTTTTATAAGAACAGCTTAATCACAACGCTATGCGATTCTTAAGACATTTTATTTAAGCTTAGTTACAGTACACTTTTATACTTACTTTGTGTTTCGAAGTCCAACTCTACAAAAGTGTATTAATGGTTTGTCGTTTAACAGGAAAACTTTCCAGTACATTGTTTAATCAAACTTGAAACTTGAAACAACGATGAAACAGTTGGTTTTACCACTTCAAAAGCATTGTACATAAAGAAGACCAAAAATTTATCTGAAAACGCTTTCAAAAGAATTTGATATCCATCAAGTACACCTCCTAAAAACTAAATTTACAAAATTTTCTATGCAGCTCATGTGGCAAAAAATTTCCACCCGACTCTAGCAATCTTTCTTAGCCGCTCAGTTCCATGTGCAAGCCAACGGTATATCCCATACGGCAAATTAGACTGACATTTATAAACTCAATAAATAATTTATGCTTACCCGGATTTTCAAAAACGACAAAAAAACCAATAATTCTTCTCAATCATGAGGCCTATCCCACTGCAATTTCCTAAAGCTGAGTTAATACACTGAAAAAAAAACTAAAAATCTGGTTGAAGATAAATTATGGTTCTGAAACAAAAAAAAAAAGCCTTAACATTTGAAAAACTCTTTTTCAGTAAATCCGTAACTGGAGTTCATTCTTGAAACTTTTTTAAATAAACAATTTCTTCATATTTCTAAATTGCTACACAAAGAAGCTTGCAATTTTCTGGTTTCAACATCAGGCCCATGATCAAGTTAAACACATTCATATAATTAACAGAAGATTAACTATTTTTTTTTTATCACTTGACAGCAGTTTGCACCAATTTATAGTAATACTCTTTATTTCAGTCATAACAGGCACAATACCAGAACAAAAAAATTTTGGAAAAAATTATTTTATTTGTTTCATAAGTGAGCTGTAATTTTGTTGGAATCGTAATAAGTGTTCAACGAACGTTAACTGCAATGAATTGTTCTGATTAGCTGCATACTGGCGTGAGCTACCACCGATCAAGCAAGCAGTCTTAAACATCAAACTTCATATAACTATGGTACTCAACCTTAATTCCTTTTGAAAACTTTCTCTGTTTCATTTTATTTCTACGTTTATAGATACTTTTTCATCTCCTCATCTGAGTTTGTTGAGGTTTCTGAGCAGTTAAGGGACAATGCAGAAGCCTGAAAAATTAAATCGTTCAATAAAAGGACTATTGCGCACGTGGGAATTAGTAATAAGTTAAAACGGGCGAAGTTTTGTCAACATTTTTTAAAACGCTACTCCACACTGGCAAGTTGAAAAACACACTTAAAAATTACTGGAACTTATTCTCCCCTAAATATCGTCCTACTGAACTCAGCTCTTCTTTATAAATCTTTCAAATTATTTGGGAATTCTTTCAAAAATTGTTACAGCATCATTTTACGAGTTTATTCCTAATGTATAACCCTCCATTCTTCTTACTCTGATATCTTTTCCTCATAACGAAAAAGTTCTACAAGGAGTTATAAGCTAACTCTTCAGAAACTAAACAAATCAGTGTAACGAAAATAGTGTTCAGTGTTGCTCGAAAAGCCTTAAAAATCTTTTTAAAAATATTTTCTAAGTTAAAAGCAAGCAGCCACTTATGCGTTTAAAAATCACTTTCCACCTCGCTTTCCGTACATTAATTCATTCGCCTCTTTGGATTTCAAGTTTATTCTAAAGTTGATGAGGAACAATAAAAATTCCGCTTAATAATTATAACTGAAGAATCGGTTGTTTAAGGTAACGAGAGCAGTAGTTTTTGAACCACTGAAGAACCCAAACACGGGAAAGATGCTACTACCATAGAAAATTCTCATTTAAAATAAAACTTGTACCTGCCTCAAGTAGTATGATATTTCCTAGTGCAATGATCTTCTTTTTAACTGTGTTATAAAATTATTTTTATAAAGTTATCTTACCGTACTATTGCTTTTGAAGTCTTAAACGTAATTCTGGAAAGCGTAATTAAAAAGCTAAAAAAAAGTTTGAGAGTCGGGAAGAAAATTCAGTAGTAAAACGGCGGACAACCATCAGCCTATGCGGTTTCATAAAGGGAAAAGCTTTTAGAACATCTGTTGCTCACAGCACGGTCAGTACATTGATACATCCACTGAAAATTATTTTTCTGACCAGTGCGGCTAACAATCACAGAGATGTTCAGGGTCATAGTAGCCGATTTTTGAATAGGCTATTATGCTGCTACAAACACTTCGTAACAAGATTACTGAAAAAGAAAACAATTAAAACGAAACAAAAAAGAATTTGTTTTCATAACACTGAGTAAGCTTTTTAATTCTTTAAAGACGATTACTAGTTATTCCAGCTTGTAGTATTCTTTTTTTTTCACTTATTTCTCAGTAAGCTTCAAAAAACCTTTCGGTTTGTGGGAACTTCGATAACAGCAGAAACGGCAACAAATTCCGGTGACTTCCAATCATTTACGGCAATGACAACACCAGTTTGTACTAGTGTCGGAACTAGTACAACAGCTGAAAATAAATGTGCATTATGCTGCAAAACTATATGACAGTAAAACTTCATTTACGATGAAAGACTCGTCATACGCATTAGAAGCGACTTAATTTACTGCGACCATTAAATACTTTGAGAAATAATCATCCAACTTGGCATCGTTCCAAGTTTTCACAATTTTGTGTTGATCACGCGGCGATCAAACTTCTTAAAATACAACTCTTCTTTACTTGGTAGTTCATGATCTGCATAATTTTTGTTGACGGTTTCTTGTTTTGAACTGATGTGCTTGCAAAAAAAGCCGTTTTTTGCCTCTCAGTGACGCCTAACCGGCATTGTCGGTGTCATAGTAGATCGGTTCAGGATATAAATACCTTACTGGCAAGTGCTGTTAACAACAATACAAAAAAATCTGCTGATAAAGTAGACTTTTGTTGTCATGCTGTCTTACAGAATACATTTTACTTTCAATTCCACCACATTTTTTGTTGTCCGCTCCACAGCGATGAACGACCTTGTTGCAAAAATTGCTTTATCTTTATTTCATATGAGCTATTCCAGCATTTTTGCATAATGAAGTTGCACTGCAATATCCTAATGCAAAATTCCAATTCCACGGATCGTCGACGTCCGACGAAAGGCATCATATCAATAGCAAAAAGCAAGGGTAGTTCAGCAGATAAATTTGAATTACGACTGAGTACACCAAAGGACATTCGCGGACGGTTGCTTGAGGTTGGTGTATTTACTTCTTACTACGAACAATAGTTATTATTGTTAGAAATATTTCAAAACATCAGTTTTTATGCTGTCAATTTATAGTATATACCCCATTAGGGCTTTTTTTCTCTTCTTTAATTAACTATTCTTTCTCAATTAATTAATATTTCCTCTTCGTTCACTGTTTCAATTTGAGATAAACCGTGAAACAGTACGTTCTATTCAATCGAAATTTGTAAATAGTGGTCGGGCTACTATTCAGTTTAAAAGCCCAGCAGTTGACGTTTATATATCCGAGGTAAGTGTTTCTGTTATTATTATTGCTTGTTATTATTATTTTTACTATTTTTGACTATTATTACTGTTACCATTGCTGTAACTACAGGTATCGATACAGTTATTATTTTTACAGCACTTTTAGGCTCCTGCGGAGAACCTAAAGAAGTTTCTAGCTTTGTTGAAGTCAGTTTTAGAAGGGAAAGAAACTTCAGTTGGCCCCGAACAGGCTGTAAAAAGCAGTGATTTTGCTCTTTCCCAGAGGCTGATGACAATTACTAACAAGGATCAGTACCCTAAATACCCGCTCGGTTTTCCGCCTGGTTTACAGGTAAATTCTACACAGTGTTAAACCCAGGAAGCTTTTATATTATTCTACATTTGCTTGTCTTGCTCGCTTTCTTTGCTTTTTTTTGGTCTATTTGTTTTATTTCTGTTCCTTATTTTATCTGCTATAAGTGATTCAATTGAGGGTTATAAGTTCAAGAGAGCTGGAACTGTTGGTATTGTTTTAGTCCCTTCGCATTGTGGGGTTGCAGCTGCAGGCTGTAGATAGTCGCTGGTTCTCGCTTAATGCTTTGCAACGTCTCGACCTAAGTCAGAATCTGTTGGGAAGTTCTCGAAACTTTGGTTTGCGATTTCTAAACATCGTTCGCTTGAAAAACCTGCTGTCGCTTTCTCTGGCTGCGAATGGTTTGACAACATTCAGTGTTGGTTTTGATGACCTTTCCCGAATATGTTTTAAAGTGATTCTGACTATTGAGAACACCTAAGCTTAGTGCAGGAAAATTAAACTAATCCATTTTATCCTCTCCTCAACGAAGAATTTTTAGATTAGATAATTGGAAGCCGGCTTATTTTTCTTTTGTTGTCAAGTTTTTTTTTTTTTTTTGTTGATTATATAAGTTGGTCTAGTTCTGTAGTCTTGAAGCAAGAGTTTGACCTCAGGGCGATCTTCCAGGCTGAATTATGGGATTCACTTCCAGTTTCTCTCGTTGAACTTGATTTATCATTTAATGAAATTAACCATCTTTCTCCCTTGAGCACACGGCTGGTAAATCTGAGTCGTCTGAACATATCAAACAATCGATTACGCAGTTTGCCCGATGAAGTAAGTTGCTCTCAAGCCTTTCTGCAGTCGTAACTCTCATCTTCTTTTGCGAAGAGGATGATATCAGTTACGATGAATTATCTACAGTCTCCTTGAAAAATTTTTGAGATATTGACCTACTAAAATGTCTTTTCTCATCACCTAAATGGTTGCAGATATGCTTTTTTCGATCTTTACGTTTCCTAGACGCATCTAACAACCAAATTTCATTTGTTCCTGGTTGTTTGGGAAGGATGAAATTCGACCTAATTGATTTTTCTGGAAACGTCGATCTCTTCTCATTTCCTGTCGGATCTAAAAGTTCTAACAGCTCTGTAGCTTCCCTAGTAGAAATTGGAGCGGCTGCAGTTAAAAAAAATAAGTAAGCTGTGCCTTCAACTGAGTTTTGAAGAAATTTACGGGACCAAACTTCTAGATATACGATTACTTCTGTTGGTTCTCTTTGGTACTGTTTTACCGTTCAGGTTATGTAAAAATCATTTCCGCTTACTAATCTTCTAGGTGGACTTTATCGTTTTTGTAATCTGATCTGTCCCGCTAAGAAATTCTTATGATGAAATCAGAGGTAAATACGTGATTTTTTTTGTTTTTACTTCTTTTGAAGATTTGCATTTAGGTTGCCGACTCACATTTTGCCATGGGATCTGCGATTTTTTCTCTCAGAATATACAGCTGTCTGCTCAATATGTTTAAATATCTTTCCGAAGTCCTCTACATGTTCTCATGTATGTTCTTTTGTGAGCCATATTTCTCGCTTGTTTTTTATGAAACAGTTTTTCCTTTCAAATTTACGGTTCGCAATATTTTTTAGATGTGGGTACTAAACATACTTTCAATATCGAGTACAGTTAGTCATAATCGGGGTGAAGACGGCCGTCGCGTGAAAGCAGAATTTACATTGTGTCCTTCGTGCTCAACAGGAAGATAGACACATTTGTGTAAAATGTTGTCATCGCCTATTCCATTCGTTTGGAGGATTGATTTTACTTAAATCCTTCTGAACTAAAAACGCCCTGAAAGTTAAGTTTTTATTTGTTTGGTGAAAATTGCTTTTCATTTTGTTTCTGAGCTTGCCCTTCCAGGTAGTCTTCTTTCACTTTCAGTTTTTCGAAGCATTAATTCTTTTGCTTATCTCACATTTCTTTTATACGGATTGGTGTTTCTTAAGAAATCTTTGTTAAAAAATTACAAGGACTTTGCTAGTCGCTTCTTTTTTTTTTCTTTCTTTTTGCCAACCGATAGTTTTTTTAATTCTGTTGTTATTGACGGCTTTCTATGAAATGTCTTACTTGTACGCCATCGGCTGGCTGCTGTTTATTTTTTTTATTAATACGCTAAAGTGTGGTCTTGATGCTGCTCTTATCTCTCATTATATGTTTATCCGCGTCCTATACTTATAGTAATATCCTGCTCTGAATTTGCGTTGATTTAGTTCTTCTACGCTCATTCACATATACGTTTTCACGTGTACTCTCATTTGCCAAATTAGACTTCAGAGCTCAAATCGTTTGGTTCAAAATAAAAACAATTTCTATCGTGATTTACTGTTAAAGGTTGAGAAAAATTGTAGTTAATGGCATTTCCGCGTACTCGGATAATTTTTTGGTGCTCGGCAGTTGCAACATCTTTTTCGGTACGAAAAAAAATGCAGAAAGTAGTATTTTCAGCGGTGGGAAATGATTGAAGAAAGTTAGTTGGCCGGCTGTTCAATCTGGCGTGGACGCGATGAGTGTTCATTCTGAAGCTGATGGTGTTTCATTGTTAGAAGAGAAGATCGAGGAGGCGCAAAGGTTGCTTGCTGCGGTTAAAGAACAGTTCAATGGCACTGATGGCGTCAATAAATTTTCGAACAAAATCAACGCCGAGATAAAATTCTTGAATAATGTCATTCTTTTATGTTCTTGCACACTTACGTCTTACTGCTAGGTAGTTAGAACTAAGCATGTTTTGAAAGTTAGGTTCTTTGTTTTAAAAAGGTTCTTGATTAGTTGTGGTTGGGACACTGTTGGGTTACGGTAATTGGCTGCTGAGTGGTAGTAGTATTACGCAAATTTCGTAGGTGATTGTAAAGCTCCTGTGCAAGTTTTCTTAAAACAGTTGGATAGGGAATTCTTTGCTTAATAAGTTTCCAAAATGAAACCGATCGTTTTTTCCACACGGCATTACTAGGGTTCAATAACAAAATTCTGTTTTAGGAGGGGATTTTTTGTTGCCTTGCTGAAATCTTTTCAAAAGCAAAAAGCGTTATGGTGATAACGGTGTGGAATTGAAATATGTTGTTCTTTTTGTTTCAATTCTTCTGATTTTCTTGTTGTGCCTTCTTTTATTTGACATGTAGTAATGGACAACGAAATTTTTAGTTGCGCGATAAACAGCCTGAAGAGGTAAAACGTCGCATGGATACAAGTAATCTTCTGCATTTGAAGGGCATCTTCCAGTGTGCCTCTGAACATAGTTGCTGTAGTGCTTTCTGCAAATCGTTTAGCACGCCCGCAGAAGAGAATTAAGTTTTTTATCAAATGGTTCATTTGTTACTCAGTTAAGAAGGCTTCTTGAAGGACTCTCTCTTTGTAATTAACACAAATTTTTTTTAGATGTCGGAAGTTGGAAGTGGATCTTATTTTGAACGATGGCGATACTTGGGTACGTCTTTATTAACTTCATCTCATCGCTAGTCTAATATCTTTGGAATTTCATTATTATTGCGTTCTTCTCGCACCTGATCAGGATTTTTGGATTAAAGGGACGATAAGACGTAATATTTAGGTAAAAGTGATTTCTCGTAATGCTAAAGGTCTTGCTATGGATTTTGTTACGAGTGGCCGAAGTTCAAATCGATCAATCGTCGACCAAGCACATTGTTACAAAATTGTAATAATTTTGGAGTTTTGCAAAAATAAGGCGACCAAATGTCAAAAACTTCACTTGGACTGTTAAACCTTACGTTCTTTTTTAAATATTTTTTAAATCAATTTTTTTTGATTAATTTTTATGCTTCTCTCTCGTTCTTTTCTTCGAACTGAATTCTTTGCACAATTTAGGCTGCAGCTAACTACCCTCACTTTTATAAACCCCCAGAAATAATATTTCATTGCTTGAATGGCGTACCAGATATCATCGTCAATGAGCTCATTTCGTGCGGAGTTCGAGTTATTGGCACAGTGGTTGGTTGTCAGATATGTAACGTACTTCTTTTTTCTGATGACAGAATTTTACAATGCTCTGCGTTTTTAAGATACCAATCGGCGAGCTGGTTGTTCTGCCGGAAGACTGGGATTCAGACAGTTATTCTTCAGATTCGTGTTCTTCAGAGGTTCTGGAATTGGAAAAAAGAGAGAGTAGTGTATTTCATGGTGAAAGCTCTTATTCTCAGGTTTTGAACCTAGACATAACGGCTGTTTTTGCGTTGATCTCCGCATTAACTCATGGAGATGGAGCAAAATTTCACTTCGCATCGTCAATGTTGAATGATCAGGCGAGATCTGAAAGAAAAAGTCCTGTTTTACCTCGACTAATGAAAATGATGGAAGGTGATTTGTGAGTTTCAATTGTTTTAGATTAGTAGTCTGTTATCGTTTTAGATTTATGCGTTTTTGATACTGTTGATCTGTCCAGTGTCAGCCAGTAACCAATGCTTCAAATGCTAGATACTTTATTTTGACATCTAGGGTTTTTTGAGTGAAATTTTGAAAATTTTAGATTTTTTTGGATTCTCACATCATTTTTAACTGTTTTCAATTAGTTTTTCAGTGGTCAAACTTTTCGAATTATTCTTTCAAGGCAGTATAACTTAGATTTTCTTTTTCTTTTTTATCATGGCTGATTTTATTAATATCGGTCCCATCGTTTTTGAATATAAATCAATTTTAGGTAAAAAGGTAATAATTTGTCGGACAGCTTATGATGCAGTTAACAACATACTGAGCACAGTCGCAGGTCCTGAGGAAATGCGTCGAGCTGAAGAACTGTTTACTAGAGTAGAAGTTGTTGAAGATAAGCTTTCAGAACGAGCAAAGGCTTTGAAAATGAGTGACAAAATAAATGAGCGTTCGAAGGTAATGCATTAGTTTATTTTTTATTTATTAGATAAGTAAGTTAGAACTGATTCTTAGAAATGCTGCTTTTTAGTGACTGCCATAGTGACAAAGGTCATATCATTAAGTTTTTTGCTCAGAGTCAGAGGCTCCTTCAACAGTTGTAGAAGCTAAATTATATATACGAGCAGATGTCGAACAAGAGTAGAAAATAAGAAAAAGGGAGCTGTTGGCATTCAGTTCTTGTGAAGTCAAAAAACTTAATCAGTATTTCATATTCTGATGAATTGTAGCAAAGCAATTACTGTCTAGAAAAAAATCGAGAAACTACATTCAGTCGCGCAGTAGAATCTTTCACCCGCTGTATTTTTTTTCTTATCAAGTTCTGTTTAGAAGAAAAAAAGTTGTGGCGTTCTGCTTGAAATGGTTGGGTGGTCCTACTCTGCTGCAACTGACATGTTATTAGCATTTACAGGTTATTTTCGGTTCTGGAGACTATTATAAAGCAGTAACACTGACAGCAAATCGGCATTTTGTAAATGCAGCAGCCTATCAGGTAGATAAATATTTGATGTGTCTTTCTTGTGTTGCTGTGTTGCTTCTGGTTTTTACACGTGGATTTCAGTTTTGGAATTATCTTAAGAGGGCAGCTTAATGCAAAATTTTTTTAGATATAACAAGACATTTTTCATTTCAAAGTTATGTTTTTATGAAAAATCGTTTTTGACGCTTCTGTTTAGAGATTTCATTAGTGTTTTAGGGATTACGGTTTGCTGTAGTTCTTCATGACTCACGCGCACTTAGCGAGCAGAAGCAGCTCTTGGCAGATCCACTGTAATTATGTGTTGTGGTACATTGATATTAAAATCTTGTAAAAAAATTTGCTGTTATGAAAATCTGTGGGATAAAATGGAGTCTTTCCGTTGTTGGAATTTTTTACGTGCGTGTCTAGTTTGTCTGTGACTACAACTATGAATCTTTATTCGTCCCTACCGCTGTGTTTTATTACTAGTTATAGTTATTCTGTTCTGTGTTGTTTTATTTTATCATCAAATGCCTTAATTTTTTTTATCGTTGACTCTAAAATGCTTTTTTTGCATAGTGATAGTTGGTTGGGATTACACGGTGTTGTTTTTTAAATTTGTTCTGCACTTTTTAATTTTGTTTTTGTGATATTTGTTATGAGATTGGGTTTGCTTTTTGAATAACAATGTAAATTAGTAGTGTCGTTTTTTTGCAATTTCTGTTCTCCTCTACGCTTCAGCGAAAGCATTTGCTTATTGGATAATTTAAAAACGGTATTAACAAAATAACAGTCGCTTTAATTCTAATATTTATTATAGGGGTTTTTGAAGGTTTTTTAGGTGTTGCATGCCGCACTTAAATATCCGAAATTGTCGTGATGAACGTGCCGTCGATCTTGAGACGTGAAATCGATTGCAAACAGACGGCAGTCAGAGCAGTTAGATTTAATGGTATTTTATACGTATTTGTTATACCTGTAATTGAAAATTTCCTAGTTTTTAATTTCAAGTTACTGCTCCAAACGTGTTGGGTGGTTACGATTTAGAAAATGGATTTTTGAAGAATTAGCTGCTGTGTTACTACAATTAAAATTTGTTCTTAGTAACTGTTTTTTAGTCGATGGGAACTACTGTTTGTCATGTGGTGCTGATAAAACTATAAAGCTTTGGAATCCATATACAGGTGCTCTGTTGAAAACATACTCTGGGACTGGATGGGAAGTAAGCGCCATTGACATTTTCTGACCACTGTATTTACTTAAATAATACTGTTTCAATTAAACTTCATTTTTGAAACGTTTAGAGAGGTTTGTTTGCCAAAAGATGCTTCCCATTAAATACTCTTACGGTTATGAAATTAAGCTTTTTGACCAATTCTGTAATTGCTTTATTCAGTTGATGTGTTTTGGACATAAAGTTGTGATTAAGAATTTATTTTAAAATTGTCGTTTGTCTGTTCGTATTTCTATGAGGTCTGTTGCTCAAAGATGTAAAACCTGATTTTGCCCGGCTGTTAGGTTAATCTATCAACGATGACTAGCTTCTTTTTTTTTTTTTACAATAAACCATTGTTTTATTTCATCATGAAAAACAGTTAAAAATTTTGGGCAAGAAGTTGCTTTGAACAGCCATGATATGCCCAAGATTTTTCAGTTTTTTCCACCTGAATCAAAGTCCACTAGAAGAAAAGCCAAGACAGCAACCTCGTTCTATTGAAACTTCGTGTGCAAACTCTTCAATTTTTTAGTGCTCAAAGAGTAGGGTCTTACTTTGCAATGCTCTTCAAACCCTCATTCATCCCCTGTTTGTGCCTTACAATTCTGAAGATTATTATTCTGCAATAATACTTCTACCGGCAATCAGATATTGTTTGATGCACTCCAAAATGCTTCCATCAAATCGTGTTCTTCACCTCAGGTTGGTGGAGATCTAGTTTTTTTATCTGAATAGGATTCTGATTGCCATCTACTCACTGTGCGAGTCTTTTTAGCAATCATTTATTACCTGTCTTTTGTAATAAGTAGCCGCTTAGTTTTTTAACAAATTCTTTTTTGGTCACTGAAACAGGATTTTGCAGTAGCGGGTGTAGATCATTCGTTGTAATTCGGTGAGCTCGTAGGGCACTCATTTTTTCAGCTTCCTCTGCACTGCAAAAATATTTCGACTAAATGTTGGCATGATATCCTAGCTTCTGAAATTATTATACATGTGGATGTTTTCGAGTCACAAAGTCTATATGAAATTGTAATGATTGAAACAAAACGTCTCTTCAGAAGGATATTTGTTTTAAATTTTTTTACTTCGATTTGGGGATCTTTCTACTCTTATTTTCCCCCCCAGTCTTCTGTGGACAATTTTTGAAGCTACCAGTCTTTACGTTCATTGGCTGATTGCAGCATCTCGATATTTTTCATTTAGTATTTAATGAGATAGTTAGGAAGTTACTTTTTTAAAGTGTTATAAGCTTAATTGAAAGTGTAAAAGCTAGTATTTCAGTCAGCTTACAAATTTTACTTACAACTAGGCAAATTCTCGGAGTTATTTCAAAAACGAAAAGTTTTTGTAATGACTCTTCATGTTGGGTCGGCTGAAATAAAATTTGTAAGTAAATCATTATTAAAGACCTTATTATAATGTGATTTATCTCATCTGTACCAATAATCTTACTTCTTTTGGTAGTTCGTCTCTTTTTCAAAAGAACTACTATTTGAAGAAATTTATGCTTAAGATTTTGGACGCCCAAGGTTCTTGTGATAATTCGCAGATACTTGCGGGAGGCCTCGATAAGCAGCTAAGTGTTTTTGACGTCGAAACCGGCAAGCTTACGCGTCGTTGGAGAGAACATAACGGTTAAGTTTTTCTTATTATGTTACCAAATATGGAAATGGAGAATTAAGTTATCGTACTATAAACGATTAGTTTTGATCTCCCAGAAGGATTTTTTCTATAAAATTTCTTGATACAGTAGGCTATTAGACTCGGAACTAATAAGTAACGGTCTTAGTTTTCTTAACAGATTTTGCTCAGATAAAATCTGTAATAACAAAGTATCTTTTTCCATGAAAATATTGGCAATTTATTGTATAGACCTACAACAAACAGCTCTTGTTCCAACATCCTCTGCTTTGACATTTTACACTCAATTGCAGCAATCAAAGGGGGATTTCTTTTCTGCTAAAAAAAAAAATCCAGCGACTATAATGTTGAATACGAATAACAGTTTGTAAACAATGGATTTTGTGGACAAAGAATGCGTACAGAAGTGCTCCAATTTTACAGTTTTGACAAAATTGCTGAGTTTATAGGAGGAAGCAAGGGTTATGTTACCGGTAAGAAAAGTGAAGAGGAAACGGGAATTTTGAAACACTTAATTCCTTGAAATTCAAAGGAAGCCTATGGTGCGCTCAAAAGAAAAGAATCATTCTTAAAACTCGGCTTCAAAACTAGCATTACGGTGGCCACAACATTGTATTTTTGATTTTGTTACCAAGACAAACGCGATTTGCGTTTACCGCTTTCACTAAAATTTTAAGCGAACAAGCAAAGTTGCACACCAAAAACACTCAACGAGGAACCGCAACATGTTCATTTAGAACTACAGAGTGGTCCTGAATATCAAAACCTACCAGCCAGTCTGATGGTCGTAAGTCAGAACTATGTGATTCTGTGTGAACTTTGTGAAAAATTATCGAGTTCCCTGAATGCAGCTAAGAAGAAAATTCTTTAAGTTTATTGGTTGCATTGAGGGGGAGTGAATTGGTTGGTGTAGTTTGGGAATCACTACTTTTTCACTTAAGGGATTCTGAAAGAAAAGATATCCTGCAATAGGTAGGTAGTAAAAATTGCTTCTTCATTAGCATAGAATACCAAAACAAGATAAAATAGCAATTAACACTAATTGATTAATCACAGCTTCGTCGAGACCCAGAAATCTTTTCTTCTGTTTTTCATTGTGTAGACTCTCGCTGAGTGATCCCTGTGTAGCGCCTCATTAGTCCACCTACAGACTTGATGTGTACTTATCTCTTTATTGCTATATCCCTTCTCCCGGTTCCCTCCGAAGCCCTTCAGTCGCTTTACGTGACAGATTTATTGGAGAATTTGTTGGTTGCAAAAGGAGTGTTTCACAGTGACTGTACGTAGCTTCTTTGGCTGAACAGTTCATTAAAATACGGGAATGTTTGTCGTGAAGTGAGGGGCTGCTTGAATTTACTATTTTATAGAAGATTTTTTGGCGCTTGTAAAAGAAAAGTTCAAGATTTTCTTAAATTTATAGGTAATCAGCAAATCATCTGTTGATGGTTAATTTGAGTGGTGTTCCTCAAATTCTATTAGGCTTTGCAATTTGGTTTCGATTTCTAGTTGCCTCAAACTTGGCATTGTTAGAGTTTATATGTTTTTCGCTATTCTTGATTTCAAGAGATGCAGGATGAAAAAAAAATTACTTCGTTGACAAAACTGTTCTGCAGTATAAGAGAAAAAAATTTCTGCATATTTTATGAAACTACTTTCAATGTTCTTGCAAAATGGGGCTTTTTTTGTAATTGTGTATTGGAAATTTCAATGCGGTAGTACTAGAAGCATTTTGAAAAGGGTTGGTCATCAAACTTAGCACGATGTTCTAATCAGCTTATTATTTTTATATCACGTATTTTATTGTCTCTGCTTAATTGAACTGCAATTCAGTTCATTCTTTTTGTCGTTGATTAACTTGTTTAGTTTTTTAACAATGTTTTCCAAAAGTAAGTGGCAGTCATAGTTTCTGAATTGTGTCAAAATGTGCAAGTTGCTTCACTTTCTATAACAACATATTTCTTTATCAACATCAAATAGCAATTTGTTTCTTTTTTTTTTTT